TAATATTATATTAATATGTTTATCCTTGATTGCCATATTGCTGCCATTGACAACTTAACTGAAGAGGAAGAGTCTTTACTTTCAGCCACATACAGCTGGCTGGACGAACGACCAGGGAGAGCCAATATACTCTCTATGCACTCACTCGAACGAGTATGCTAAAGGGCAGGCAACAGGCAGGAAGCTAGAGGAGCAACTGCAATTGCTGCTAGTGTTGACTGTCTGCCTGTGTGTGTGTGTGTGTGTGTGGCTTTATCGCTTGGCTCGCTCGTTTGCGGCTTGTTGGCAGCCAACAAATCTCACTTGGTCTCGTCCTCTGACACTTGGCCACGTTCATGGCCCACGTTTGCGTTGTCCTTGTCGCGCCTCTCGTTCCTTTTTTTTTTTTTTTTGGCCCTGTCTTTAACTGGGCTTTTTTTTTGTTGGCCAGCGACAGCGCCGCCGCCATTACGTTAAATATTTTATGAACCATTAAAAGTTTTGCAAATTTTATGGCCGCTTTGCATATAAACATGCTTGAGTATAAAATGGAGCGCGACATCAGAAACAGCTCCATTCAATATCAAAAACACACACGAAGTGGCTTGCTCCACTCGCTCCACTACTGCTCCAAGGGCGCTCGGCCCTGTCGTCCGCCCTGGCTTCAGGCTGTGCGCCAGTATGTCACGACTTGTGCAAATGACTGGGCCATCAGAGTGCCAAAAAGGAGCTCATAAAATATCCTTGCAAATATATAACATATAGCATACACATATACATATATACACAAGTATACATATGTATTATATGTGTATATATATTAAGTATTTGGCAACAACAAAGCCAAACATCGCAAGTTTTTTTTTTGCGGCGAGCCAGCCAAAAAATTGAAAAATAAAAAAAAAAAAAATATGAAAATGCTGCTGAAGAGTCAAAGCGGGTTACCCAAAACGGAAGCTGTCAATGGCTTTGTAACGATGTCGAAGGCAATAAACGCTTACAATAACAACTACACCGACGATGACAACAACAACAATAACAACACCAATAGCAACAAAAGCCAGAAATATTTCTACGTTTATGCAAAGTGATGTCATGATATTTGTCTGGAATAAGGCAAAGTTCTCTTCAATCTTAATGCGAACTTCTTATCCTAAATAGAATTTCAGCGCATAGGAAGCTTGCTAAATAAACGCATCGAGCCTCAAGGCTTGAAGTAATGCAGGTTATGTTATGTTATGTGATTAGAGCATGTTTTTATTTATTACTGCGATTATTTCCATAATTTATTATTTTTAATATTCTGACAAATTTATATGCTTTTTATTTACATTTTATTTAGTTAAAAAAATAAAATAAACCAATAAAT